TTTTCTTTCTACTGCAATTCCGCCGCCGCAGGTAGTTTCTGTGCTAATAAATAAACCACCTACTCTTTCACTGCCATGATTAAACCAAATCTCAACTTCCAACTTGTGTCTTCCCTCTCCTATAAAAAATACATGCATATTCACATTTAAGCATTTTTAGTGTGATCACTGCAATAAGGAAATTATTGTTTTTAACTAATTTTCAATAATCATTTAAAAGCCTCTTTTAATACTGACTAAACACAATATTTTATAAACAAATTAATAGATAACCATATATGGGTCACTTCACCCATCACTGAAATACAACCAACTCTGGAGTTAAATTCAATGGCATATAACACTACGCCAAAACAATTTAGTACTGGAAACAAAAAAGAATACAGTAGCATAGGTGCTGGAACTAGAGGTGCGGGGGATGCTGCAGCACCCTCTGGCTTGTAGTGAGGTTTCCATTATATACAGGGTTTACAGTTTGGTTCAATGGCTCTCAGCACCCCCACTATAAAAATTGTTCCAGCACCCCTGTACAGTAGCAAACTGAACATGCATTGAGTATTTCAAAAGGCAGAATGTGAGTTGAAATTCGGACCGGTGGTCAGAGTTCACATTTCCACTCTTGCGCGCACACACACACAAAGTCAGATCTATAACGACTATTAGTGGTTGGAACCACCTCCAAAACACAGATCCTCCGACAATACAGTGCCTCATTCAGAGGGAAGAAGTCCACACACAGAGACACTTATTCCTGCATTTCCTAGGTGTTTCAATCTATTCCTGGCAGAATTAAGAAGTGACAAGAATCAATACGGATGGGTTCTCTATCAAACTACTTCATTCTGAAGATGCATTAAAATGATACCCAAGGGAAACACTCAAATTCTTTACATTAAATTGAACCAAGAATGGGCGACATCTTGATATTTCAAATTTTCTATATGCTTCACAGCACTGTTTAATGGGAAACACTGCTTGTTAACAGCTGAATGATGCCCTGTAGTTTTAAACAGTATAGGCTCACTGACTAGAATGACAGCTAAATTTACAATTTACATTATTTTAATACTTATGGGATTAAGTGTAAAATTATGTAAAAAATAAAAATGTACATAAAAAAAATACTACCTCCCACACGCAAGTCTCTTTGTTGATTTCCTGTCTGTTACCACAAGTTAAAGCTCCCCATCTTCACTACCAAGGCCTTTATAATCTTGTCCTACATACACTGATATTGTTTCTCCTACTCCCATTTCACTCCCCTTAATCCTTTCACATTAGTGCTTTTTTTTAGCCCACACACCTTTCAACATGCTCCCTTGTGTCTCAGCCCCCCTGTGCTTGCCAAGACAGATCCCCCCCCACCCTCACACTTCTCCTCCTCCAAATTCCTCCATAAAACTAGTTTTCCAGGAATCCTTCCTACCTTCTCCTTACCAGTAATTCCCCACACTGTATCTTCCCTTTCCTGTTGTGTGTTTTATCTGCCTTCGGGCCCTCAGAAATACGACTCCTAAACAACAAACTATAAGCCTCAGTCTTGGACCTATGCAGATAGGTCCTGCACTGATGCACAGCTTCATGAAAGTCACAAATCTCTAAAACTCTTGGAATAATAGCTTCCCAATGCCAAACAATCTGGGATTCTGGATCTTAGTACTATATTGAATTTTACTTCAATAGTCAAGCTCTGATCTCATGAGCACTCCATAATACAATTATTTTATTTTATTTGCCCAGCTGTTTAACTCTCAGAAAAAAATACAAGGTAAGGAACTCTAGTCCCAGAAATATTACTAAGTAACTTGAACACATTAAGAAAAGGAGTACCTGTGGCACCTTAGAGACTAACAAATTTATCTGAGCATAAATAAATTGGTTAGTCTCTAAGGTGCCACTAATACTCCTTTTCTTTTTGCGAATACAGACTAACACGGTTGCTACTCTGAAACTTGAACACATTAGTCAGTGGTTAAATATACATACTCTCCTGCTTTATTTCTTAATTCACCAGCTCTAAATAGAGTCACTTAGAAATCTATTAGGCAAACAATGTATTACAAGTAATTAAAAAATGGGAACACAATAAATAGGGCAGAAATGTGTGTTCATAAGTTTTTTATTTTTAAATAGGCATGATTAACTATAGGACCATTAGATTGCCTTTGTTTAGCTAAGCAGTTCTATATGCTAGAGCTCGTCTCGTGCAACACTGAAAAGTGCAATACATTGGTTACTGTTTGTTTAAGTGTGCGTGTGCTTTTTTGTTTGTTTTTTTGTTTATTTTAAACACACGAATTAAATTAAATCCTGTAGAACCACATTTTTCCCCCACACAGGAAACATCTTGTTGTTTAAGGTTTTCATTGTATTTAACTGATGCCTTCAAAAAGTTCCATAAAGCAGTTCATCAGCATAATTTATACACAATTTTATTCAATGGAAAAAACAGCTCCCATGCATGTTGGTTCATGCAGGCACAAGAAAGGAAGCCTGCTAATCTAACAGATGGGCGAACAAAAGTACTGACAATGCTTCTTTATATGACCAAACCACCAAAAAAACCCTGAGTAACTCACTAAAATACAGGAAGCTTTCTTGTTTTAAACCAAGCATTTGCTTCGCATCTTTCTTAGCCATAAAATTAATAATACTTAATAGAACAAAAGAACACAAATGTGGGTTAGGTCAAGCTAAGTGTTTGTAATGAATGCTCCTCACTGTGTATGTCTGCATATGTGATCATACTGGTAAGACTGGTAAGTTCTTGAGGTAAAACTGACTGTAGATGTCAATTAACATTAGCAACTGTGTTAAGGTTATACAAAGTGATAACAGAACATACAGATGAATATTTATTTTAGAGTGAAGAACAGATATTTAGAATTGCTTTGCCACAAGAAAAAAGAATCTAAGAATGTGGTGGTGTGTTTACACTTTAAAAATAAAATAAATTACAGTGAACTAGTCTGGTTATAAAGACATTTTGCCATGGAGCACAGTATTCTTAATGGTGACAAATGACAATAACCAGAGCTCAGCAAGATGCTTTTATTATATGTCACTATAAATACGACCAATAAAGATGGTTGATCTTCTGTAGACTAATATTTTTCAAAGTATGGGGGTTCTACTACAGAGGTATATAGTTTGAAGGAAGTGAGAAGTATGAAATTGTCACTACAATGTAACTGGAGAATAAGGATAAGTGTTTATTTTTTAATTTTGATCATCTTGTGCCCTGTTGCTGATGTCAAACAGATACTGCAGAATATCTACATTTTTTCTGCTGATTCTCTCTCAAAACATCAAAGGGCTAATTTTGACAGCGAGGGGTCGAATCATAGCAAAAACAGGTCAAAGAGCAGAAAAAACAAAACACTACCTGAGAAGTATTTTCTCACATGACTCTAGTATTTTCTCACATGACTCTAATGACACTGTATCGGTTTTAAAAACAACGGGTTTGAACCAAAAGAAAATTCACTGTTAAAGTGTAACAATGACAAAAAGTTAGGAGGTGAGTTGTCTAAGAAGAGGAAACCTTCCACAGAATATTAGAAGACAACTGCAAAAGTGTTTTTAAAAGGCTGGACACCAAAATAAAATAGAAAAAGAGGGAAAAACACTCCCCCATTCACTCCGTTGGGAAACAAACAAACAAAAAAGGGTCAGCTGTTATAACACCCTCCCCTCGCCGCAAGTTTTCTCCCCTTCCTTCCAGTGCAAGCCAGGGCTTCCAACAAAAGGAAAAGATAGGTCCGACCATTTTAATGGGGACAAGATCTCATTGAGGTCCACCCACAGGAACCAAGGGCATGGTTTATCCAAAGGAGATGAAAATCCAAAGGAAGACAGAATGATTTCTCTTGGCAACAGCATCTCCACCCACAGCCTTGCCTCTGTACGCCTCATTGTCCTCTCGGGCAACAGGGAGGACAGAACCGTCCCTTGGAATCGTTTTCAGCGGAACAAATCCCCAGTCCTGGTTCCCTCCGCGCTAAGGAGGCGTTTGCAAGCCGGAGGGAGCAGGCAGGGAGCGCAAAGGCAGAATCAAGCTCGTCGAGGGGCAGAAGAGCCGCGCTATTGGCTACCGTAGTCCAGAAGAAACTTTCCCAACTATGTCAGTCGCACGCACAGCGAGGGGAATGTAACTTCCCAGAGAGAGACGCCAACCAACAGCAGCCTGGGGGCGCGGGCTGCACAGACCCACCAGCCCAGGACACGCTGAAAGGCTTCTCGGGAAACGCGCAGACCCCCCTCGCTGCACTTACTAAAGGGGAAACAGGGCGGGGGGAGGGGGTTTCCTTGCCTCTGGGCGCCCTTTAAGGAACGGCAGAGACCCATCCCGCGGCTGTGCCTCGGGGGCTGGGCAGGCAGCGCTCCGCAGCAGAGAGAAAAGTCACCAGCAAATCCCCCCCCCCCCAAACTTTCCCCTCTTCCCTGAGCACCTACCGGCTGAGCTCATGGTGCCACCCACGCGCCTCTCTTGCCTCCTCCTCGCCCCTTAAGCCCTAGCCCCCCGCGGAGCTGAAGAGGACAAGCCCATTGTGCCGCCGTGCTACTGCCGCAAGGCGCCCCCCGGCCGCTCCTCCATCAGGTCCCGCAGCTCCTCTCCGACTGAGCCCCGAGCAGCAGCCGCTTTCCCAGCCCTGCGCCGCGGTCTGGGCTGAGCAGCGCGCCCTAGCGGCCACGAGCCCCCAGCGCGGGATCACCGGGCAACGTTCCAAAGGCCGAGTTCTCGCCTGCCCCACCCCACGCCACAGGGAACCCGACGGGCTCCGCCAATCAGCGCAGCCCAGCCTAGAGCCCCCTCCCTTCCCGGAAGCGGGCGCCCGCGATGCCTGCTGGGAGTTGTAGTTTTCTCTGACCGAGGGCTGGACCGGGTGGGGAGCCGTCGCCGAGGGCTCATCGGACTCGGTTTCCCACAGTGCCCGGGGCGGGTGTCATGGCGAAGGATGACACCGGAGTTTGACGAAGAAGTGGTGTTTGAGGTGGGTGCGAGGCGGCTCCGAGGGCCAGGCCCTGGCTCCCGGGGCTTCGGCTGCGCTGGCGGCCCCCTGGGGATGGGCCTGCGGGCTGCGAGCGGGCACCGGCGGGCAGTCCAGGGATGGTCAGGCCGGCCTCGCCCGGCTGCAGCGCCCGGGTCAGTGCGTGGGAGGTGGGCAGGGGTTGGTATGGCGGGACCCAGGGTGGGGTGAGACCGGGGCACGCCGGGCTGGAGTGCTCTGTGTCGGTGCATGGGAGGTGGGCAGGGGTTGGCACCACCTCTGGCTGTAGTGCACCAGGTGTAGTGCAGCCGAAGGATGATGCTGAGGTGGGTTTGCTGGAGCAGCTCGAGCTCCATTGTGTGTGGTACTGACTTGGGAAGTGGGCAGTTGTAGTGGCCCAGTATGACCTAATGTCTGGAGTTGAGCTGTAAGGCTCGCATTTGGAAAAACCTTAACTCCATGCAGTTTGGATAACAAGCAGTGCACCTACCATAGGGGCTGGTGTTTTAGAAATACCTAATTAGATAAATTCAGATTGCAAAATCATATGGGAGATGCAATTAATTTGCTGTTGTAGCTGAGGTCTTAGTCTGGGAAACTGCTGTAGTACAGTTGTTGGAAAAGATTGGGAGCTACTGTAGCAGATGAAAGCAGAGCAAGATCCTTTAGTTTATGGTATCACTTCTGCACATGGTATCACTTCTGCACATGGTATCACTTCTGCACATGGTATCACTTTTGAACTATGAAGTTGGGCAGCTTATGTGTAGGACCACTTTTGTTTGATGCTGTACGTTTTTTATATTTTAATAATTTAAAATAAGTACAAAAATACTGTTTAAAATTAAACACATTGGTATGCGGTCAGGCTAATCTATTAATTTAGTTCTTCACCAACAGCAGTTACAAAAAGTAGGAAGTACTTGTTATCCACCATATATGTAAGGTTAGTAACAATACCATCCTTTAGGCTTGACTTCAGTGGGACTACACAATAAACATGTGTATGTTGAATTCAGTGGAGCACTGCTGAATTGCAGGATCAGGAGCTCCTCCTCTGTATCTAATAAATCCTATTTATAAATCAACATAATTCTTACAGAAGTGTCCATGTAAATGCTATATCTATGTAATATCTACATCACCTACTGAAAGCTACTTTCTCTTCTGCATTTTGTAGTATTTGTGGAACTTGTGTCTGGCCTCTAGAAACTTTTCATTTACATAGCTGCATATTATGTTAGTTCTGTTAAGATACAGTAGCTAGTGTGGACCTGATATATTTATAAAGTAATGGTTAAACATATATGATGCATTTCAATGACAAAAGCAATAGCTAAATATTCTAGCATACACATTTCGCTCTGTGATGCTGAGAACCCTTCAATGCCAACTGGCAATGGGTTCATTGTTCTGTAACAGGTTTCAGAGTAGCAGCCGTGTTAGTCTGTATTCGCAAAAAGAAAAGGAGTACTTGTGGCACCTTAGAGACTAACCAATTTATTTGAGCATAAGCTTTCGTGAGCTACAGCTCACTTCATCTGATGCATAAAAGTGGAAAATGCAGTGAGGATGTTTTTATACACACAGACCGTGAAAAAATGGGTGTTTATCACTTCAAAAGGTTTTCTCCCCCCACCCCACTCTCCTGCTGGTAATAGCTTATCTAAAGTGATCACTCTCCTTACAATGTGTATGATAATCAAGGTAGGCCATTTCCAGCACAAATCCAGGGTTTAACAAGAACGTCTGGGCGATGGGGGTAGGAAAAAACAAGGGGAAATAGGTTACCTTGCATAATGACTTAGCCACTCCCAGTCTCTATTCAAGCCTAAGTTAATTGTATCCAATTTGCAAATGAATTCCAATTCAGCAGTCTCTCGCTGGACTCTGGTTTTGAAGTTTTTTCTGTTGTAATATCGCAACTTTCATGTCTGTAATCGCGTGACCAGAGAGATTGAAGTGTTCTCCGACTGGTTTATGAATGTTATAATTCTTGACATCTGATTTGTGTCCATTTATTCTTTTACGTAGAGACTGTCCAGTTTGACCAATGTACATGGCAGAGGGGCATTGCTGGCACATGATGGCATATATCACATTGGTAGATGTGCAGGTGAACGAGCCTCTGATAGTGTGGCTGATGTGATGGTGTCCCCTGAATAGATATGTGGGCACGGTTGGCAACGGGCTTTGTTGCAAGGATAGGTTCCTGGGTTAGTGGTTCTGTTGTGTGGTGTGTTGTTGCTGGTGAATATTTGCTTCAGGTTGGGGGGCTGTCTGTAGGCAAGGACTGGCCTGTCTCCCAAGATTTGTGAGAGCGATGGGTCGTCCTTCAGGATAGGTTGTAGATCCTTTATGATGTGTTGGAGAGGTTTTAGTTGGGGGCTGAAGGTGACAGCTAGTGGCGTTCTGTTATTTTCCTTGTTGGGCCTGTCCTGTAGTAGGTGACTTCTGGGTACTCTTCTGGCTCTATCAATCTGTTTCTTCACTTCAGCAGGTGGTATAGTAGTTGTAAGAATGCTTGATAGAGATCTTGTAGGTGTTTGTCTCTGTCTGAGGGGTTGGAGCAAATGCGGTTGTATCGTAGAGCTTGGCTGTAGACAATGGATCGTGTGGTGTGGTCAGGGTGAAAGCTGGAGGCATGGAGGTAGGAATAGCGGTCAGTAGGTTTCCGGTATAGGGTGGTGTTTATGTGACCATCGCTTATTAGCACCGTAGTGTCCAGGAAGTGGATCTCTTGTGTGGACTGGTCCAGGCTGAGGTTGATGGTGGAACAGTTTCCATAGGAGGAAAGATTGAAAAGGCTGCGACTGTTCAGCTTAGAAAAGAGATGACTAAAGAGGGATATGATAAAGGTCTATAAAATCACAAAGGATATGGAGAAAGTGAATAGGGAATTATTTACTCTTTCACATAACACAAGAATTAGGGGTCACCTGATGAAATTAATAGGGAGGAGGTTTAAAACAAACATAAGGAAGTAGTTCTTCACACAAAGCACAGGCAACCTATGGAACTCATTGGCTGGCGATGTTGTGAAGGCCAAAAGTATAACTGTTAATAAAATAATTAGATAAGTTATTGGAGGATAGGTCCATCAATGGCTATTAGCCAAGATGGTGAGGGATGCAATCCCATGCTCCAGAAGCTGGACCCGGACGATAGGGGATGGATCACTCAAAATTGCCCTGTTGTGTTCATTCCTTCGGAAGCATTGGCATTCTTATGTACTGTCAATGAATCTATATGCTAAAATTGGAAACATTAGAGTAGTTAATTGGGCTTAGATATTCAGGTGCTTTTTAAAATGAATTTGTAATTTGGATTCAGTTTTCCTTAATGTTGGGAAATTTTTACAAACCTCACAAAAACATAGGACTGACTTACGTGTTCTGATTAAGGCTACGTTTTAGTCACGGGTATTTTTAGTAAAAGTCACGGGCAGTGAACAAAAATTCACATCCCGTGACCTATCCTTGACTTTTACTAAAAATACCTGTGACTAAAATTTGGGCAGAGGGCTGCAGGTGCTCCGGGGGTGTGTGTGTGTCAGGGGATGCCACAGGTGCTGGGAGAGGTGGCCTGGGACCCACCGCTGGTGCTGGTGGGGGGAGAGTTGGCGGGGCTGGCAGGGGCTCCTTACCCGGCTCTGTGCCCATGCAGCTCATAGGCGGCGGAGGGGCACAAGCGCCAGCTTCCGAAGCTCCCATTGGCCGGGAACTGCAGCGCAGAGCGCCTCTCCACTGCCTAGGAGCTGCAAGACCGTGCCCTCACCCTGAGTTAAGCGTCCCTCCCCACACCCCTTAACCCCCTGCCCATAGCCCTGAGCCCCCTCCCACACACCAAAACTGTTGCTGGTGCTAGCCCAGGAGCTGCCCACCTCGGGCATCCCTGAGCCAGCACCAACTGCTGCAGAAGTCACTGAGCTGAGAAAGTCACAGAATCTGTGACTTCTGTGACCTCCGTGACAGAATCGCAGCCTTAGTTCTGATGTAAGTGTGTCCTATTTCTTGTTACAATGCATGTGTACAGGTTTGTTTATATTGAGATACACATTAAAGCACATACACAATACACAATAATTTGCCATTCTAAATCTCACTTTACAGGAACAATTCAGTATGTGTCAATTTTTCAAAAGAGTTTATCACCCAGCACCTCCTAAATCTGGCTGCAAAGAAATACTGCAAAGAAATACAGAAATAATAAGATCCATGTTACCACATTACACCAATTTGGGTCTGGTTTTTTTTCGTTTGGGGTTTGCGTTTTTTTAAATGCTCTCAGACCATTTAGGCACAAAATTAAAATGTTGTGGCTTCTTTCTGTGAAGAAACGAATAATTTTTTTAATTGCTGAAAACATTTTTATTTAAGTGACCAGAAAGTAACCAGAAATGGTCCCTTAACTTACTGGTTCGTGCTGTGTAAAATGCAGTAAGTAAATAAACATTAAAGGATGGAAAAGAAACAATTTTAAAATTATCAGTTTGAAGTTTTTTATGAAGAGCATCAGATTGATTACTTGCAGTTGTACTACAGCATTGTTTTTCTTTATACACAAATCTTGATTTCTCCCAGGCTATCATCTCTAACTTTTTCCTTCAGGAAGTTCAATGAAAAGGTGGTGTTAACTTGTACTTTTGATTTGTCTCAAAAATAATATCACAGCACTCAAGTTTTAAAAATAATAATTTTATGATAGGAATATAAAGTATGTAGAATATGATGGTACCCCAGAAGGCACCCAATAGTTATGTCATTTTACAGGATTGCCGCAATTGGGTTTATTACTCTTTGCCAGTTAGTCATTGAATCTGCTAATTTTTCACTATTTCAGTAACACTGCTTAATATTTTAGTATGAGTGGCAGCAACTGCTCTGTTTAAAGTTACATTATATTTCTATTCTAGCACAAATTTCATTACTTTGAGAATTTCAGCTTTCAGACTGAAATTTTTGATATGTGATCTCTGAAGGTAAATTTTTAGGAACATCTGAGTGGAAAAATACGTACCCTGTTTTTTTTGTTTTTTAAAGTGCGACTTTTCTTTGAACAACTCTAAAGCTTAAAAAAGCTGTGGGTTAAAAGTTGGAATTTAGAATGGATGTAGCACTCACTGAGGGGAAGTGCCTATGGTTGTTCTGAAGAA